CGGCAGCGCGGTAGGAAACGGGCGGCCGCCTTAGCCCTGTGAAGTAGTTTGTGAACGGGCTGTTGCACAGTGCTAGGTACCAGAGGACCCTGGCCTCGCTGAGGTGCGTGTCTGTGCGTCTGAAACACAAGGTCAGCAAGTGTCTGTGGGCCCAGTGAGAAATCGGCTGTGGCGTTTGGGCTACCCCTAAATAATAAATGAGTGTGCAGGTGACACGGTGGCCATGCGAATAGCTGCATCTCTTTATTGGCTGGGGGGGGGGCATACCTGTGGTTCCCGAGATTTAGCCAGAGGTGTTTTTGTGCCAGGATGCTCTGGCTGAGATTCTGGCAAAGGTGAGCTCAGTGGGGTGACCAAAGAGTTAAAGCTTTTTCACGTCATAGTTCCAGGGCCTAATATTAGAGCTGCATGTGCGCGAGTATGTGTGTGAGTGCTCGGAGCTGGAGGTAGCCTCCTAAAAATTGTTATTCGTGTAAATGCTGCAGCATCTCAGTAAGTTTTGGCCGCAATTTTGGCTGCTTCTCGCTCTCTCAGTATGTGAATAAAAAAATCCCCAACTGGCACAGGATGAGCTGTCATTATGTTGCCCTCTGGACAAAGCTTCTTATTTTCTCTTTGAACTGCAGACTGGCATGGAAAATGGATCAAGGGATATGAGTCTGATGTGTAGTGCAGTAAAGCAGCAAGAAAAATCTGCTTTGGTCTTTAAATGGTGACTTGAAACTATTTTGTAAAAAGATCTTTACACACAAAACTCTCTCTATAAGACTGACTTAGTGAATTTGGTGCTTGCAGGAAGGACACAACTGACAATGGAAGGGACAAAGTTTTGTTTGTTTATATAGGTCATGAACAAGAGCAATAGATGATTCTTCATCCTGCCCATGTCCTGGGGACAACTCTTGGCTTAGGAAGGAGGCTGTTTCCCCATGATAACCGAGTCTCTGTTTTTCTGCCTCAAATTGCGGAGATCACTTTTGAATGTTATATGTGTAAAATGTAATGGTGGATAGTCTTTTTCACATCCAAAATTTATAAACAGTTTCAAAGTGAAACCTAAATTTGAAATCTCTTTAAAAGTTCTGCAGATTCAGTCTTTGTGATCCTTCCTCCACTGCAGCTCTTATGTGCCGCTGCAGCTCAAGGCCATCTGTAAACAGAAATTATGAAATAAGGGTAGTACCTTTGTATAGTCTTTTAGTAGTATCAAAGTTAAATATCTTTTACTTAGAGCCTCTACTTTTGTCTTTTTTTCTTTTTTTTTTTTAATAGTGTTGAGTAGGTGGAGAGAAGCACTGATTTTTTTTTTTTTTTTTTTTTTTTATTTTCCCCTCCATTCAAGGTATGGATTAACCTGCACTGTGGTTTCACTGGGATAAACAGCGATTGTTTTCCCTTTGAATTCTGGTTTATATTAAGATTGTGTAGGGACTTGAAACATTTGGTTTGTACATATAAATGTTACATGGTTCCCATTTAAAGGTTGCTTTGCAAATATAAGTGCTTTGTGTTTGAAGAGGTATTGTTAGGGGAATTCTCTTGAAAAGATCTAGAGTTATTAATAGCAGTGGAGACTATTAAAATTTCATGATGACTTGATTCTTCTGACTTCCACAGATAACAGTATTTTCAGGTCATATATCGTAGCAGCAAAGTTAACTGAACCCGTTTCTGGAAGGTCACGCTGTAACTAAGGCAGATGTGGAGGAGTTGAAGTTTTGCAGCAGTTTTTGGCTGCTGAAATATGAATTAGGACAACTGTAACTAATGAAATAACATAAAGTGCTTCTGAGAGTATACTATGTGTAATTCAGTCACTTGCAAAATAATATACTGAAATTTGTTTCTTGATTAAAAAAAATACCATAATCAAACGACACTTAGGAACACCTAGGAAAAAAACAAGCATGGTTATGTACAATTTTCCAGTATTACTGTCTACCTTTGCTCTCCCTGGATTTTGGTAATACCTCCATATTTATCTGAACAGGTGGTCAGTCATTCTTCAGCCGAAAGGACTCCATCCGAACCATCTACACATCTCTGCATAATGAGCTGAAGAAGGTGGTGGCGACGGGTCGCAATGCACTAGGAGGAACAGCTCCTCACTTGGAAGAGCTGCTTTCTCACCTGTCTGAACAGCTCTGTTTTTTTGTTCAGGCTCGGATGGAAATTGCTGACTTCTATGAAAAAATGTACACGCTCAGCACCCAAAAGTTCATTAACTCTGAGGAACTGGTAAACATTTTGGAATCCATCTTAAAGAAATACAGCTCAAGGTCAGTGCTTATTTGCTGGCAGTAAGTATTGAGGCATATGATCTGTAATAAATGATGTTGAGGTTCAAAGCAAGCCTAAAGACTTTGCTGTCCTTTGACTGCTGAGCAGCACAGCCCCTTGCATGAATTCATGCATGAAGTGAATGTTGACCAACAGTATCAGATTCGTGAAGTCTCAAAATATGGCTCCTCTGAAGAAGAAACCTAAAAAAGGGAGAGTGTTTCTCCTTGTCATGTTCTAGGAGCTGTCTTCCCTGTTCCTTAATCAACGCTCTGCATGTTCATATTCAGCAGAGGAAGAGTCATTTTCCTTATAAAAGGTGTAAGACTTGTGCTTTTTCATTGGGAGTGGAGAGGAAACAAGACTTAATTCCATATGGACTTCAGTAAAACTGATATATAAAACAGATACTTGTGTGATGATTTTATTTTTAGACTAGAATATATGTCTGCTTAATTCTAAAAGCTACGCCGTAGCTATCTGATCTACCTCGTAGGGTTTTAAGGTGTTCTGTTATCATTCTTTTGAGAGGCCTTGGCACCAGTAGAAGGAGCACCTCGAAGTCCCTGCTGTTATGGTTTCTTGAAGTTAAGAGCTAATAAATCCTGTTACAAGAATCCCTGGATGTTTCTAAATGACTCTGGGGTGGGTGTTTCACATCTAATATGTGTGAGCCTTGAAAGTGATGACAGCTTAAAAAAGAGAGAATTTTTGAATGCTTGTCACTAGACTCAAACTCTAGCCCTTTATTTTGAAGCAAAACAAGGTAGCCATTGGAGGAAATTAACTTTCAAATGTAGTTGACTTTTTAAAAAATCTTTGTTAGTGAAATACTGTCTAAGACGACATTTATAGAGAATATTTGGAAGTGTTGTTTTTTTCAGTTTTGATTTTTAAAATGTACACCTAGGAAAAATCAAAATAATTCAGTGCTGCTTTATGACATTCCAAAACAAAGCACTGCAGCTAGCTCCCTTATTTTTTGGGGAATGACTTAGGCAAATTACTACATGATTTTTGCTATTTAAAAACCAAACCTAGTCTATATGATCTTACTAGTGATTTTTTTTTTGCAATTTTTGGTTTGTGAACCCTTACAATATCAGGACTGTTAGTCCAATAAAAAAATAAAACTTGCATATTTTTTCCTTGATGTGATAAACATTAAAGAGTAAAGGGAGGTAAGTTGTTTTTTTTTTGAGAAGTTGATTTATGTTGTACGCTTATCATTGCCATCTGTTCTGAGCATGTGCTGAGTCAACAGCACTGTTAAAAATCTGAAAACCAAAACTGATACTTTGATGAAGTGACTGGAGACTGTTACATATGAAATGTTTTACTGTGCTATTTAAATACATTTCAGTGACGTGTCTGTACTTCTAAGGCGTTATAACCTCTTTAAAAAAAAAAAAAAAGGCACTGCCTCCATGGGAAAAATACTGATGATCTTGCTTTGGGTTAATGAGCAATCTCTAAGATGGAGACATTCTAAGATGCTGTTAGAGCTCATTCAGTAGCTGCTGTGTGGTCCTCCACAGTCACATACAGAATATTTCTGAAAAAAAATGAGGATAATGGTGTCTTCCTTTAGGCCCTCTTTTAGTTTCTTCACATCTTAGATCAGTTTCTGGAGTCGGTTATGCTGGCTAGAAGGGATTTCTGTTTTACAGTCTGTTGACCCTCTTAAGTGAAAGGTCAATTAAACTAGTCCTTAGACAGTCTCAGCCCTCTGTCAGTACATTCCTTGCTTGATGTTGAGGATATGTGCCATTACTTCAGCCAGCTGTGCTAAGGCCAGGCAGGGCATCTGTTCTGTAGATAGGTTCTGGCCTTGGTTTCTTTCCTTTGCATCTAAAAATAGTTGTTCAGATAATGTAGAGCAAATAACTGCTTGCTGGTAAAGAAATGACAGAATTAACTGACTGTCAACAATCAAGTCATATTGTCTGTATCTGAAAAATCATTAACTCTTGAACAGTTGAAAGCTATTTTGTTACTACTTGTTGCTGACTTGTACACAACCAATATTAGGCATTTTTCTGTGTTTTTCTATAGAATACAGCGGGAGAAGTAACTTTTCCTAATTTTTTTTAATTGTTGGCTTGAGTGGGATCTTAACTGAAATAATTAAGAGAGCATCAGAAGCAGGATCATTTAAAAGCTTAGTATAAAATGAAGAAGTAACTAGTAAACTTATTTTGATGTAATTGTGTTAAATGTTTTTCATCTAGTCAGCATTTTATAAATCCATGCATGCATGTGTCATCTATGAAAGGAAATAAAAAGTTGTAGAAAAATGCGGCTTCTTCATAGCCTGCAAAACAAAACTGTAGCATCTGTCTGCTTTTGAGAATGATTAGGGGAAAGAAAATCAATTTTCTAATGTGTTTTTAAGTTCTTAACACTCTGGCTTATTGAAATATTGTAAAAACCTGTCTGTTTTACGTGATACTGAGCTCAGTCAGGTGCTTCTGTGATATGAAACTTAATTACAGCACATATACTGAGTACATAACCTGTTAGTTTACTCTGCAACCATATCCAGCTTCTCAGCTGTGGCTGAGGTGTATATTTTTGGATTAAAACAGTTTTGCAAATCCTGCTGTGCAGTGAAACGTGAAAATAGCTATGAGCCATGAAACAAAGTAGAAGTGGGAAGCCGTACATCATAATCTTAATCCAGGAGACTTGGCAGTGCTGCACTAGTATGAATTTTTTAATTGCTTTTAAGATTGAAGAATAGCCTTCTTGGTCTGACTGCAAGTGTGTTGAAACCACTGTGTCCCACTTGATGGGACTATCTGGAACAAATAATGTTGCATAATGCTTTTTTTCCCCCTTCAAATACATGGCAACAAAACTGTTTTTCTGCTGAATAACAAAACTGTTGGGACTATATAATATTGACTGTTAGCAGAATATGATTTTTAATTGACTCTTGTTCAAAGAAATGTAAATATGCTCTGGCCTTCTCAGCCCACCAAAGTAGCCAGTTAATCACTGTAGCTCTGCTATAGCAGGTGGATATGATGGTTGCTGACATGTGCTGTGTAAGAAGGCGGCTGGTCACCCAACCTAGCCTGTTTGCAGAACATGGTGCATCATTTCATTTTCTTCAAATAAATTTGGACTTGCATCTTAATAGCAAATCCTTTCAAGACACATGTGGCTGTCAAAAAAAAGAAAAAAGAAGATGCTTAAAAATAGTCATAAAATTGTCAGACAATTTTCACAAGCCTAAGAATTAATGTTTTGGCGAGAGCTTGATGGAAAGTCAAAGAAAAAATAGTGAAGGAAGAGGGGATGAAAAGCTTAAAATTCTCATTCTCTCTTCTGGTGCACAACAAAATCAAATGTTTTGGTTTTGAACCAAGTATTTCCAAAATTAATTATATGTATTGTGTCCTGGAAGCTGAGGGGAATAATGGAGTTGTTTTTACTTTGTCTAAAGATGAGCTATTAAAGGTTAGAAGAATACAGTATAAACTTCTTTGTTTTAAAGCAATAACAAGACCCAGGATGTTTTTCTGAAGTGAGGGGATAAATCTGTCTTTACTGAAATGGAAACCTTGTCAAATCTTGTCTTTGAACTATCGGTTGTTCTTTGCTGGAGACTTCTCTAAGAGTCCTAAATGCCTATTAGGGAACGCATTTACTAAAAAGGCCATTTCTGTCTTTGCTGAAGACTCATTCTTTCTAAATTTAAGTATTTAGCTTCTGTAACTGAAACAGTTTTGCACAGTTTGAATCAAGTATGTATTTATCGATGATGATAGAAATTTACAAATAATTTGAGTATCAAGGGAGGTAGGCTGGATCTGTCTTTTTTTTCCTGATGTTTAGAAAAAAATAAAGTGAGAAGAGAAAGCTATAGAATGGATCTATAAAATTCCATTTCATCGAGATTTGTTCTAATAGTAGGATCACTTTCGTGAATAAGATGTGCCATGGCACTTCTACCTGGTAGATGAGATGTGGTTTGTTTTGGGGTTTTTTTTTAACATCTGTTCAATTGAGAGCTGATCTTGACCTGAATTTTTAATGAGAGAAATTGGTGTTACAGCATCCTTACGATATGATGAAATCCTGCCAAATGTTTTTCCCCCTTCATTGCTTTTAGTGCACAAAGGTTTGAAGTTTGAGACCTGATTCATTGATAAATATAGTTAATCATGGTTCTATCGACTAATTTTCCATCACAATTTTATTGTGAATTTAAAAAAAAAAAAGTTTGGCTTGGCTTCCTCATAGCTTTGCTATACAAACAGCAAATTTATAATGTAATTCCTTTGATTTAACGTAATGTCTTACTGCTATTCCAGAACTATGAAGACATATTTTACCACCAGAAGGGATTTTAAGTTGTAGCAAACCCACCTGCATTTAAAGAGAAATGGTGTTATAGTAGTTCATGGATCAAGATAAACAGTGATTGTTCTTGACGTGATCAAATAGAACTCCCTTGCTTTGATAGAGAAACGCCTGACAGGTGTTTTTGTCAAATGCAAAGTACTGTATGTTCATTAAAATATTTGCCCTAATTATGTTAAACCCTGTTTTTTGAATTAACAAGATTAGGTTTTTGTTTATGCTTTATTCTGCTTTGATGTTTGGTCTTCTGTCTGTGAACTGACAAATACTGTCTGATTATTTCACTGTTGTGTACAGCAGTTCTCATGTCTTGACTAACGTTATGTTTTCTAGATTTCATCATCCAATCCTCAGTCCTCTTGAAAGCAGTTTCCAGCTGGAAGTAGATGTGCTTGCGCATCTTTTAAAAGCTCAGGCTCAGATCTCAGAGTGGAAGTTCCTTCCATCCCTGGTCAACTTGCACAGTGCTCACACGAAACTACAGACTTGGGGCCAGATTTTTGAGAAACAGCGAGAGACCAAGAAGCATTTGTTTGGAGGGCAGTCTCAGAAGGCTGTACAACCTCCGCACCTCTTCCTCTGGCTGATGAAGCTCAAAAACATTCTCCTTGCCAAGTTTAGCTTCTATTTTCACGAGGCCCTTAGTCGACAAACAACAGCATCTGAAATGAAAACTTTGACTGCTAAAACAAATCCTGATTACTTTGGGAAAATTTCTAGCTTCATCCGGAAGTATGATGCCGTCAATGTTTCCTTAATTTTTGACAATCGTGGATCAGAGAGTTTTCAGGGACATGGTTATCATCATCCCCATTCTTACAGGGAAGCCCCCAAAGGAGTCGATCAGTACCCCGCAGTGGTGTCTCTGCCCAGCGACAGGCCTGTTATGCACTGGCCCAATGTAATCATGATTATGACTGATAGAACCTCTGACCTCAACAGTTTGGAGAAGGTTGTTCACTTCTACGATGACAAAGTCCAAAGCACATACTTTCTGACTCGCCCTGAACCTCACTTTACCATTGTAGTTATTTTTGAGTCCAAGAAGTCAGAACGGGACTATCATTTTATTTCTTTTCTCAATGAAATTTCACATTCCCTTAAGAACTCCAAAGCTTTTGCGAGCTTGAAGCCTGGATCCAAAGGGTAAAATACAAACTACTTACAAGTTGTTAAGGCAGTATGCCAGCCTTGGGGGAGCTGTAGCTTTCAAGGATTATGTAAATTCATGATTCTCATAGTCTAATTAAAAAGGAACCATTATTTTTAATGTTATAAGTTCCTTCTTTTTAAGCTAACAAACACTTGAAGAAAAGTATTTTTGGGCAGTACTCAGTGGGGCAACTTAATTGTGGGGTACTAAAAGGCCACAGTAGGATTTTTTTTTTTGGTGTGGTTTTCAATTTTCAATATGATTTTATTTTTTCAGTCCACAACTTTGTTGCCTGTATCAGAAAGGAATATATGCACTTTATCTTAGTCTGATCATTGACTGTCTTCTACAGAGTTTATTGAAAATGTGATGAGAATGGAAGATACTATCTTTTCAGAAAACTGCGTTGCCTGACAGGAATGATTTCTGGGAACTAAACACTGATACAAGGGAATATTTTTAAAAAGTGAACCTGCAAGGACACATTTTAAATAAAAATACGAGAATCACAAAGGGCACTATTGTTAATTATAACTTAGTTTTCAAATGGTTTAAAATGATAGTTGAGGTCTCTGACACTCTCTGTTAAGCACCAGTCTCTATTCTGAACGCGCTGTGTCATAAAGCTTTTTCATTGCTCCAGATCGCAGGCTGGGGCGAGAAAAGCTGCAGCATGGACTGGAAGGCCAGTATTCACTGGAGTGTTGTGACCTTGTGTATGCGTTACCAGTCTTGGCTCAGATTTACTGAAGGAGACAAGCTGAGGTTGAGCAGGTATTCTAGAAGGAACAGTTGCATGGAGAAGGCAGCAAAGCTCTTTTCAAATTGTGCTTTAGTCTGGCTGACTTTTTTTTTTTTTAAAAAAAAGGGCAATGGGAAATGCCCTTTGTAAATGAGTTATTTTCTAATTTACTGATAGGGTCAACCTGAATTTGTTTCCAGATTTTTATAAGTATATAGTTTTTTCTTTCTGTTCAGTTTTAAGTAATTTCACAGTTAAGCCAAATCAGTTTTTGAATTTGGATTTAAATATATAGCCTATGCAGTATGTTTACCTCATGTCTCTCTCACCACTTCTAGGCTGCAGGTTTGGAAAAAAGTATGTTTTCTAGTTACACTGGAAGTGCTTTATTTTGGGAGTCAGTATTTCCAAATACAATAAAAGGGTCAATTTGGCTGTACCTGTAGCCTTATATTGCATGATTCTTCTGACTCTTAGCTATGCAGTTGTGCAAGCACTTTCATGAGAATTCAGGAAGACTGATATGGGTCTGCTGTATGATGTTATGTAAGTGTGGTAAAGTTAGGTCTTTAGTTGACAGTGCTTAAAGTATAACACCATCAGGTTTGTTTTCAAAGGGAGTTTAAGTAAAAATGTTGGTTTCTGTTAAGACTAAAATATAAAAGATACCACCACAGACATGGCTTTTACTGATTCCCTTTCTGTCCCACAAAAGGTTATGGTAGCTTGTCTTGCCTCTTGCTGCAAGTACCGATTTCTTTATAATCACACAAGCATGTTCTGTTCTCAAAATGTAAACTCTGACTTTCCACTTTGTGCCAAATAGAGCCTTCCATGCTTTGCTGTAATTATATGTTTGTTGTGAATATCTGTGCTACTGCCTTTCACCTGAAGTCTTAGGCTGACTGCAGTATTATTCTCAAAAGTTTAGAGTCTGCTTTTTGCCACTGGAAAATAACAGGAGTTGCAAATATACTAGCAACTGGAGGGCACCTGGTTGTAACAGCGTTACACTTTGCAGTGTGAATTGCCCTTCTAACAGGACAAAGTGGCAAAGGCAGTGTTGAGAGAGTTTGTGTGCTTCCCTCTGTGGGACAGTGACCTTGTAATAACGTTGTGCTATTGACTTCCTCAGCCCGAGAACAGAAAAGTGGCTGTCACCAGAACTGATTCCCAGTCTTCAGCAGTGTAATAAAGTGTTGTACAAATTCTGTCTGCCTCTACAGTATTTCCCTGTTATACTAGCCATCTGTGGGAAGGGGGAGAGGAGACTGGGGGAAGAGACCGCATGTGGGACGGACGCCTTCCAGCTCATTTCTGAGTTGCAGGGAACCTGTCGCAAGAGGTGAAAGAGAAATCTGACGCCCTTTGGAGCAGACCAGCAGCTTTAGCCAGTTGCTGAAATGGCTGGAGGCTGTTCCCAGTCGTTTATGTGGGGAGAGAAAAAGGAGGTGACTGTTCAGCAGACCTGGTGGTTCATTTTACGTTCCTGCCACTGTTTGGCAAGTGGTGTTTCTGGGAACAGGGAAGGATGTTAGGTGATGTTTCTGTGCAGGAGGAGGTGAGGCTTGCTTTGCCTCTTAGCAGTGCTGGGGTGGTTTGCCGCAGTTTTCTTCAGAGGATCTTGGGGAAGCAGCCAGAGGAGCTGACTCGTGGGTAGGAATTTCTGAATATTTAGGTTGATTAAGAACCGAAGGGAGCTGTTACCAGAAGGGAGGGAACAGGAGAGGTACACAGAGAAGTGGTGGGAGAGAATTGGGTGCTGGAGAGAGAAGCTTTTGTGGAGCTGTCTCAGGGTTTCAGAGCCCTGTCCCTGAGGGGCTCCTTGTAAGATCTTAGCCTTAAATTAGTGCAAGGTGGGGAGCAGAAAATCCAGGCTGTAGGAAGTGGCTGGGATGGAAATTGCTGGGGTGAAGCTGAGGAGAGGTTATACAGAATTGAATCAAATAGTTTGGCAGAGTTGAGGTGTGCTGTGACCAAAAACTAAGTGTGTCTGGGGTGTGAGTACATGTGCTGAATGAGTATCTGTAGATTTGTTAGTCCCATGCAGACTTACGGCACAGTTTCTTATTTAATGCTTTGAGGAGTTTGTTTTAAAATGACAAATGAGGTAACATGGAGACTGAGTTATCTATGATGTAAAATTGACTAGGTTAGAAATGAAAATCTGCATAATTAAGAGGGGGAACTTATCTGTGGAGTAAGTAAAGGTGACCAGAAACTCAGTAACTGGAAACAAAAATAATTAATTACTAACTTCAGTACTGGAAAGATTGATTGGTCTCTTTACTATAAGAATGGGAGTACAAATATACTTTTGCCAAGCTGGGTGATATCCCGTCTGCCAGCTTTTCCTCTCCACCAATTTAGCTAAGCAAGATTTGAATCTACTAGGTGTACTTTAAAAGACTTGTATAAATGACTGCTTTAAATGCAAGATGTAAAGATGTTTATGATAACGTAATGAAAGCCAATGCTTCCAGACATATTTGAAAGTTTTAAAACAGGTACTGAGGTTTTATATTCTTGGTACCCACTCAGGTTGCTTTGAATAGCAATGTGGAAGCTTGTCTTGTAGCAAATTTCATATACCTCATCGCTTACTTGAGTCTATGAGGATCTGGGCAGAACATTTAATTTAGTATCCTTTGCCTGGAATGTGAATTTGACTGCAAATGTATTCTCAGATCTTGTACATATTTTATATTTGTGACTTGTAAGCTGTTTTATATGCAATGTTCAGGTTTTTTTCTTGAATAAAACATCTTTCCTTTTCTCCTTTCCCCCCCCCCATTGCATGAAGACAATGCAGGGAATGGAAATTATTAATATATTTTGTATTGTGCTGCAAAGAACTGCAATATATGAACAATACACATAATATTCAGGTTTTAATGATTGTAAAGTAACATAAATTCCTGGTATCTATTTGAACACTAACACTCAGTGTTTATCTAATTCACTTTAAAAAAAGTCTGTGCTGTAAGTGGAAATAATTTTATGGCTCTTCATATACAGCCTTTTGAGAAACTTGTGATCACTTTAGTGGTTCTTTGTTTGATATCAGTTATCTGAGGCTTCCCTGTGTACGTGTCTATGATGCCTGCAGCCACAGGTCATAGAATCATAGAATGGTTTGGGT